GCAAGAATTGCAGACTTTCCTGTTGCATTGTTTCTTACAAGGGCCCGCGTACTGCATTTTCCTCCCAGGGAAGGTTTGCCGTCTTATTCTGAAACAAAGAGCCAAAATGAGAAATGCAGTATGTACAAGTTGGGATTGTGTAGGTTGGAAAATATTTGGACTTGGGAACTGAAAGATGGGAAACGCTGAAGGGACATTACGCTCCCAAATACAATTTAAATGTATTTTTTTCCTTTCAAAACAGGCCATGAATGAAATGAACGGAAAAGAAATAGAGGGGGAAGAAATTGAAATAGTGTTAGCCAAGCCTCCAGATAAGAAAAGAAAAGAACGCCAAGCTGCCAGACAAGCCTCTAGAAGCACTGCGTAAGTGTTAAAACTTCAGTAAACTGAAATGTAGCAGTAAAGGCACAGGTTATTATCCTTTCCTCCAGATGGAACAAGTTAATTTGCTCAGTCCCAGCTTCTAAAATTTACTCCAACGTAGCAAGGCTGGAGAATGGTACAAGCTAAGGTATAATAATTGGTGTACGTCAATGCCAACAAGAAAAAAATATCCACATTTAACTGCTCCTCACATGGGCTGGGGGTGGAGGCCAATTTTGTCAGATGGCTTAGAGCTGCAGCTGTAGCCATCCATCAGTATGTTTAAAAGCAATCACACCCATAGCAAATCTAGTGTGATCTTCCTGGGGCGTTCAGTGAAGAAAGCAGTAGGCCAGGATCCCTTTCCTCTGTCCTCATCTGCTTTTAAATCTGAAAGGTTATTCTCTTTCTAAACTGGATTCTTTAAATTGAAAAAGACATGAGACAGATGTTGAAAAACACACAATAAATATGTTATTATTTTTCCCCCTCCTCACTAGGTATGAAGACTATTATTACTATCCTCCACCTCGTATGCCACCTCCTATTAGAGGCCGAGGTCGTGGAGGGAGAGGCGGCTATGGCTATCCCCCAGATTACTATGGCTATGAAGATTATTACGATGATTATTATGGCTATGACTATCATGACTACCGTGGTGGCTACGAAGATCCTTACTATGGCTATGATGATGGCTATGCTATAAGAGGAAGAGGAGGAGGAAGGGGTGGGCGAGGCGCACCTCCACCACCTAGGGGGCGGGGAGCACCACCACCAAGAGGTAGAGCTGGCTATTCCCAGAGGGGGGCACCCATGGGACCACCAAGAGGAGCCAGGGGTGGGAGAGGGGGCCCTGCTCAGCAGCAGAGAGGACGTGGTGCTCGTGGAGCCAGGGGCAATCGTGGGGGCAACGTGGGAGGCAAGAGAAAAGCGGATGGGTACAACCAGCCTGATTCCAAGCGCCGTCAGACCAACAACCAGCAGAACTGGGGCTCCCAGCCTATCGCTCAGCAGCCACTTCAGCAAGGTGGAGACTATGCCGGTAACTATGGTTACAATAATGACAACCAGGAATTTTATCAGGATACATATGGGCAGCAGTGGAAGTAAGATCAATAAGGAGGGCATGGGAATATTGACAAGATAAGAATTTGGCTATAGTTCTACATCCTTCCAAAAATTGGCTTATTGCTTCATCCTTCAATAGTGATTGGCTGCCATGTGTATTGGGCTGAAGAATCACTCTTATGTATATATTCAAGTCTTTTTTTCCTCCTTTTCTCATAAATGCACTTGGACATTACTGAGCTTGCAGATTTCCCAAACATAGTTTGGGGATACGATGCTTTTTATCGTTTTAGGCTTCATTTTAGCAGTTTATCAGCAAGGATGGGCAACACTGTTAAATCATGATTTTGCAAACCTTCTGTTTTTGGACAGTTTCTTTTCTTTCTTTTTCCCTTTTTCCTTTTTGGATTTGGGATAGATTACATAGGCTTCTGCTGTACATAAAGTAAAGCTAGTACTTTGTCTCCGTAGTTTTAAGGAATTTTAAAAAAATAAGTTTTCTTGTATTGAAAATAACATGATTGTATGTTTTGCATTCCTAGAAGTAGGTTAACTGTGTTTTTAAATTGTTATGACTTCACACCTTTTTGAAAATCTGCCCTACAAATTTGTTTGGCCTAAACGTCAAATCCGTGGCAATTTGTTCCTTGATGTGATTGTATTTCCAATTTCTTGTTCATGTAAGATTTCAATAAAACTCAAAAACCTATTCAAAACATTACCTATTTCAAATTCCATTGTGTCCTAAAAGATTATTTTATTGGTAATCCTTGCAAGAAACATTAAAAAAAACTGCCTATGTGAGTGATCAAATTCATGAAAAATTCTTGCAATTTCCAACATCTGGCATTGGTGGCATGTGAGTCAGTGCTAGGTCCAGTAAAATCAAATTGAAATATATTAATTGGTACTGTAATCTGGTTGCAATTAACAGTGAATTGGTTGCTTTCTTAACAGCTTTAAATACATCTGAAAACTTGCATTTAAGCCCTTTTTCAGTCAGTTGCGAAAGATATATGTGTATGAAGACAGTCCATAAATTTAACCTATCTCGCATTATTCTTGTGGATCATATCCAAAAACTCCAGCACAATTGGATAATTCTCAACTGTAAAACAACAATAACATGTTCAGTTTTACCTTAAAAGAGACAGATTCAAACAAAGATATGAGATTGGTTGTAAATTTTTAAACAAATGTAAAATTTTGATGCTAAAGATAATAATATTAAAAAACATTAGATTTTATATCTTGTTGAATGATTTCAAATGCAAATTTCCATTAATTTGGGATATTGCTAGTTTTTTTCTACTTAGGCTATTCCATTCATTTTTTTCTGTGAACCATTTTGTATTGATTTTTAACATGTTGATTCTCATCTCATGCTTGTTTCATCTGTTGTCTCTGCACTTTTCTAAGTTGCTGTAATGTGCATTTGGGATTTTTGGGGGGGAAAATCAAACATTTGAAATTTATAAGATTGGCCACCTGAATTTTCTTAAATAACCCCTTATTTATGGATTTGCATTTGATTATATCATAGGGAAAATAATAAGTAATTGGATAAGAAGTCTTTGTCTGACCCTCTTTCAGGCTTTTTCTGTTAGGAAAAATTGGTTTTCTTCCTACATTTTATTGAGGGTCAAGAAGATAATTCCTTGGGTTTGTAATTAATTCATTGACTTGAGAGAAGAAAATGTTTTTGAAAGATATTTTTTGAAAGCCAGTTAGAGTGGGGAGGCTTTTTTTTTTTTTTTTACAAAAAAACCCAAAACCCTAAATCTAAACCATGTTTTTTCTAATAGAAACTGACCAATATTATGATCAAATGAAATATTGTGGCTGCTAGTCCTATTATAGATGCATTTATTTTTGTCTGAATAAAGTTACAGTATGTATATTCTGAGGCTTATTTGGCTTCATGGCTGGCTTTTAAAGTCTTTTTTAAAATGGTTTATCAATTGTTTATCAGTCAGCCATTTCCCCACCCCCATTGAATGGTATGCTGATTAATGATACAAACTTTGAGCTTTAAATATATGCCTCAGTGAAAAAAGACATTAGAAGTTTTTTAATTTTTATTATGGATCATAAAGACTTTCTAGAAAAATAAGCAGCAGTTTTGTATTGATACAAAATATCTGAGTCAGAATTTAGAAAAAAATTGGACTTTTAATACACACATATTGTTCTGTAATGAGAAATCTTGTGATGTGTTGGTTATTCTTACCAAAATGCTAAGTTGTAAAAATCCTCAAAGCAAATGCAATTTTCTGTACTGTATTTTTAACCTCTGGTAGCCCTTCCAAGTAGCATAACATACATACTTGGCCTAACTTGATTGGTAACACAAACTGTAGTTCCACCTGTCCAGTAAATATCATTTTTTATATTTTAAAGACAGAAGTATATTGTCTAAATATGTCAGTGGTATCCATATTCAGTTAAGAGGCGCTAAAGGCTTTTCAGTTTTTCAATTATATACAATGCACTATGACTTGAAATGCACATTTTAGAGCCTTTTCTACTAATAACTAAAAATTCAAGTGCAATCCAAAATATATTTTGTTGATCTGTGTCTTGACCTTTCTTCATCAAAGTAATCCAAGGGAAGAAAACTATTATATAAGAATCTCATGCCTTTTTATCTTCAAGATGGGGAGGAATCATGAAATGGGATATTTGATCACTCATTTATAGCAGTTGCTTCAATGTCATTATTGACACCAAGGTGATTTTGGAAAAAAAACCTGATGCCAGAGTTTTGGTACTTCAAAAACTTTTATCCAAAGATTTATACAAATTCTTAATTGTTTAGATCCCATACTGCCTTGTTAAGTGAATTCCAACTCAAAAGTTAACCAACTTGCTGAGAACCATTCTTCATGAAAGGAAATGTCTAAAAACTTTTAAAGGTTTAATCATTGTTCTAGGCTTATAGTTTCTTTGGTAGATTTGGGGGTTTTTTCTAAGTGAAGATACCAACTTTAGTAACAAACTGTTTGAAAATATTTCTTCAGAATTTCTGTTAAAATCCAAAAGAATTGGAAGGACATAAGTTTAACAATCCACTGTGAATGACTGCCTCATTTATCAAAGCCTGTTTATATTTTCACCCTCTGCATCTGTATGCCTTTCTTTGAACTCATTTGCATTTTAAACATTAAAAACATGCTTATAAGTAAGGCTATAATGAGCAAAGTGGGGAAATTATGAAAATATTTTCATATACAAGGGAGATCTTACAATTGGAGTCTTTAATGCAAAACAAATCTTGAAACTTCATTATGGCTTTTTTGCCTCGGCTGTGCATGATTTGGTTTCTTGTAATTGTGAACAAATGAGCCAGAATTGCATATAATCTCTCAATTTAAATTTGGATCGTTTGTGCAAGAAGTATTTCATAAAATATTAACATAGACAAAACTAAGGTTTGTCTCTGAATTGGATTCTTAATGCCTCAAAGTTTTGTAAGACCAGAATTACAGGCTGTGATTCCCATTTCTCTCAAAATGGGGGCTTCTCTTAACTTAGGGCAAACACATTGAGCTCTTTTATATAGCAAATTTGATAGTCTTACTAAATACAGATTGGCTCATCAAGAGGCATGTGATTTTTGTCCCAAGAGGCATACCGTTGGAATGGAAAAACTATTAAGACTGTAAAAAGGAGGTTACCAGAAGCTCTGAATGACCATTCGGAATATATTGCTCTATCTACATTTTCTAATGTTATCCAGAAATCTGCCAGTGTAACTTCTGTTTTAACTCCTTCCTTTTATTACCTGACTATCAGGGAAGCGTGGTTGAGGCTGCCCTGACTTGACATGTCACGATGTCGACTTGCTAGGTGGGGTTCGCAGGGACAGTAACCATTGGAGTTATCGGTAAGAGAATTTTCTTTCTCATTTTTATTTCAAAATAAGAGCCTGCCCTCCCTCCGCCCCCCTGGGGGGGGTGATGGAATTGCTACTTTCCTCTCCTTCAGGAATCTTAAATCATTTGTGGGGAAGGGGTCTTTTTCTTTTTTATAGATGCCTGGCTAATTGCACGCGAGAGAGGTGAGTTTGAATATGATCCTGTCAATTATAACAGATGCGTAGATTTGAGTAAGTGCCTAAAGGGTATAAGAGGAAGATTCTTCAGGGGTCTCTACTTCACGTAAAAAGAGTTTTTGTGAAACGCAACTAAGGCTGAAGTGTACTGTGCTGACATGTTTACCCTTTCCCCAATATTTGAAATATTGGAGGCATGAGTAGGAAAAGAGCTGTCGTCACAATAACCTCTGTTCCTAGTGAGATTGTTTCATAATAATCCCATTGTTCAAATAACACAAAATCCAATGACTGGTTGTCCTTGACTTATGACCACAAATGACCCCAATGTTTTCCGTTGCTAAGCAAGACAGTTAAATGAGTTTGGCCTCCATTTTACAACCTTTC